GTATGGCATGATTGGTTACCTTTGATTAGGTCTTTGTGCAGCTCTGCTGTCCAGTTTCAGATGTTAGTGTTAGATGTTCAGATCGCTAGTAATTAAACAGATGTTTGGGTAGGTGATTTTAGATGGATAATATGTTTTTAATATAACACTGCCAGAAGTTTTACCAATATTAAGGATATATGATGTTATTAATTGGAAAGAAGGGTTGTTTTATCATGTTTTAATTGAATTTTATTATCCTGCCTGAAACAATAACTGTATGTGCCTATTTTATACTGTTTTGGTTTTACTGGTCTTAGACCGCAATAAAGTACTACTACTAGTAGTAATTAAGACATATAATAGTTATTCTAAGCACATGGCTCATGAAGAACAATAAACAGATGGCTCAATACCCCCATGACTTACCCTTTTTCAACAAGCAGAGGAGATTAGACAAAGTGACAGTGGCCTTTTTTTAAAACACAGAACCATCTTTGCCATGAACAAACAAACCAGAGAGTGGAGCTGAAGGCAATATTCGATGGAGTGCAGCACAAGTGGGGTTTCCCCCCATCTTCCTCTCTGATTACATTAACAACACTTAAAGCTGAAGATGATGGTGACAATGGGATGGGAAGAAAGGAAGAAATGTGGCTATGCTCACCTTGGAAGCACCCAAAGACACTGGAAATCACAGCCATGTGCAGGGTGGTCCATGACTATCTAGCTCTAGTTCGCTGAATGTGGGGCACTTGTAAAACACAACATATATGTCATAAACTTGTAGTCTATTCATTGTTTTACTAGAATCAGAACTACATGTTACACACAGAAGCAAAAGCTCTGTTACTGAAGAATATGTGGGGTCCATCTTATTTCGCGTTGACTCCAGAATCTCGCTGTTTGACCATGAGAGGTTTAAACTCCCAGCAACTATCTTGTGATTTCTGGAAGACTCATTATTTGGAATTATTTTTCATAATTACAGCACAGCCACACACGATGACTACATCAAGAGTGAATCTTTCCTTTGATAATATACTTTTATCTTACCCCAAACACCTGCAGGTCATAAAAGGCAAAAAGGAAAATTTTGTTCCTCCAACAGTCAATAATGCGTATAAGAGAACATGTTAAAGAACCTTGGTTCTAATGCACACCAATACATTTTACCCCTTTTGATTTTATTAACCCAGGGTATGTAATTGTGCCCCCTACCAATATAGCTCGACTATATCCTCAACCAGCCTTAGATAGCATGTTGTTTCATGCCATCAAGTTGCTTCTGACTTATGGCAACCTAGTTAATTAATGACCTCCAAAGGGTGTTCTCAGTAACAGTCCTGCCTGGGTCTTGCAAACGATGGTTTTTCTACTAAGTCAATCCACCTAATATTAAGTCTTCGTCTTTTCCTACTGCCTTCCTATTGTCCCAGCATTTCCAGTAAATCTTGCCTCCTCATGATACATGCAACTGATCTCAGCCCAATGGCAAAACATTATGGGCGCTACATTCCAAAATGTCTGGAGGGCCTGTGTTCATTTTACTAAAAAAAGCCATGTTTGCACCCTAAAATATTGTTGTGGTGGGTGAGAAACTGTTATGCAAACCATTTTTTAGGCAGCTCTGAGGGCTGTGGTGAGGGGCAGAAGTTCCATTGCATTGGTGCAGCAGTGTGAGAGGTCCTCTTGAATTTGGTGTTTTCTATTTCCATTCACCTAATGAAGTCTTAAAATTGGACATAAGCAGCTCAAAGGACCTAGATGTAGGTTCAGGTTGGATCAAACAGGATTACTCAGAGAGCAACATGGTAAGCTGAACCCTTTGAGACAGCTATTCCCATTTTGAACCAATGAATCCATGTGGTTTATTTTTTATCTATGAAGGGTTGGGCAGGGTGGTATTATAATTTTGATTCTCTATTGCAGTGGTCTCCAACCTTGGGTCTCCAGATGTTCTTGGACTTCAACTCCCAGAAATCCTGGCCAGCAGAGGTGGTGGTGAAGGCTCCTGGGAGTTGTAGTCCAAGAACATCTGAAAGCCCAAGGTTGGGGACCAGTGCTCTATTGCAAAAAAAAATGTTGCTTCCTTTAGGAAAGGAAAAAAAGATCAGGAATGAAAATTAATGAAAATTAACTCATATTCCCTGGGGCAACAGCTGGAGACACCTCTAGGCTCTGAACAGCCAAGTTTAGATATGTGTCTTAGGTTCATGCTAGATTAATTCCTGCAAACCGCCCATTATAGGAAGGGGGGAAACCTTTCTGACTCACAAGAATTCAAGAAAATATATTTCATAATGTGTTCTGAGCATTGCATTTTAAATAAGTTTATAAAACCTGCTTTTAATTCTTTAAATGTTGTCAGGTGGCATATAAATCCTATGGTTGCTAATAAAATAAGTATTTTTTCTAATTTGGAAACATAATATTTTACTTTTAACTTATTTTAGAAAAGCTATGCTACTCTAATAATACCATTCGTATCTAGTTCCCTGTCTACAAACAGTCATGGTAAAAAATATTGGCACCCTTGCAATTCTGTCAGAAAATGCAACCTTTTTCTCAGAAAATTGTTGTAGTTGCAAGTGTTTTGGTACTCACATGTTTGAGTTGGAACAACAACAACAACAACAACAACAAACAGAGAAGAAAAATGCAAATCTGATACAATCCCACACAGAAACCCAAAAACGCACCGGCCAAAATTATTGGCACCCTGTCTACATTGTAAGAAATAAATGCTTTTCAAGTATGTGATGCTCCTTGAATTTGGATTTAGACACACCTGTTGCAAGTAGGAGGTGTGGGCAATATAGTAATCACACTTGCAACCAGTTAAGATGGAGAAAAGTTGACTCAGTCTTTGTGTTGTGTGTGTGATACTGAGCATGGAGAAAAGAATGAAGTGTAAAAAGGTCTCCGTGGATTTAAGAGAAAAAATTGTGGAAAAACATTGACAATCTCAAGGCTACAAGTCCATCTCCAGAGATCTTAATGTTCCTGAGTCCACTGTGCACAATATGATCAAGAGGTTTACAGCCCATGGCACTGTAACTAACCTCCCTGGACGTGGACGAAAGAGCCAAATTACTGAAAAATTACAATGAAGGGTTGTTTGAATGGTGGATACAGAACCCAGATTAAGTGCCCAACAAATTCAAGATATTTGAAGAGGATTTACTCTTTTAATTTGCATATAAGCATCCTCTCTCGCTTTTGCCTTCAACATGAAAAGATTTTGCACTCAGTTTCAGAAGTATGTAGCTCACTGTTTCACAAAACTACAAAGAATTTTTTTTCAATACTGCAGGATTCATAGTGTCAATAGTGCTACTATTTTGATGAAGTGGTGCATAGGTGAAGACACATGAGACAGGATGATGAAGTATACATGTTTTTAGGTTCTACTAACAACCAAAATTAACTGCTCATATGCAAATAGTGACAGATCATAGGAAGTGCTGCAGAATGTGCTCCTGGTTTCCATGAATACTAACAGCAAATTACAAAATCTTAGTTGTCAGGAAATACTTAAGATGAGGAAGGCATGACAGGCTGTCTCCCTACGTGTGCCAAAATGTGCCAAAAGCTTGAACTGAATAAGCAGAGCTGGGTCATTTAATGCTCAGTCCGTGAATATTTAATATTGGCTCATTCCTCTTTGAACTCCACTGTGAAACTTGCAAGCCCTGTACACATTTCTTACTTTGAGAGCTATGTGGAGTTTGTAAATTACTTGATTTTTTTATCTGCCCAGGATGGTCTGATCACTTAGGAAAAGAAGTTTGTGACAGTGTCCCTACTTTATCTCTATGAACAGAAAGGATCCTATTTTGTACCTTTTGTTATAGGGGCTTCAAAGTGCAAAGCTTATTCAGATACAATAGTTCCCACTGGATGTCCTCTCTGATGGAGCATGCTCACAAAAGTCTTAACATACACTATCACATGTGCACATAAAGGGCTTTCTTCTTTTACCGAGTACATACTGAAGTTTACTGAATTTAAATTTCATTGGAGGTAAAAACTTGATTTTACTGAAAGTATAGAAGAGATTTAGGCACAATCCCAAAGCAACAACTTCTGGTTTCACCCTTACAGGAAGCGGAAGCTAGAACAAACATTGATCCTTCTCTTCTTCATAAACATGCATATTTTGACAGTTTACCAGAAACCTTGATCAAGCGATTGCAGTGACCTATTCACCAATTTAAATACATCTGATTCCCTTTCAAGAGAGAGAGATCACATAACTTTACTTAGATACTGAATGCTTATCGCAAAAAATGTGCAATTAAACATGTTTGATCACATGCTGTAACAAGCCATCACATTTTTTACAACAAATTTCAAAGCTCAACTATATGGTGTGCAGGGAAAGAAAGAAACAAAAGCCAACCAACGACAATGGAGTATTAATTGTACAGGCAGATTTTCACCTATGAAATGAAAAATTTATGGTTGGGTTAAAAACAACTTGATCTTAGATATGTATACCCTATTCATCTACTAGAGTAGATTCCCGAATCTAGATGGGCGGGGTAAAAATGGAACAAACAAACAAACAAACAAATAAATTCTTTGTTTATACTTCTCAGAGAGAGTGAAAGAAGAAAAACTCCTAAGGTATTCCATACACTGTAATTTTGCTTCATTATTCCCACCTCTTTTTCTCCTCTTAAGGTTGCAATCCAATGATTTTACACTTATTGCTTCTTCTCCCTAATGTTATCTAATCATTTCATAATATCATGAAGTCAGCCTGAAGACTGAGTTGTCTTGCACTGTCTTGCTTTTCTATGGTACTAGAACTGGGAAAGCTGTACTTCCATCACTGTGAGATCAGCTAAGCTGTTCTTTTGACTAAGTACAGTCTGTGTGGTCCCTGCTTGGCTGGCAACAGGGTGCATTCACAGTCTTTATAGGAACAAATATCACCCTCTGCAAGGCAGCTTGCATGTTAATGAGGGGAGGAGTTGAGGAAGAGCCAAATAGAGGAGAGAGACAGACAGATGTCACTGTAAACATTCCTTTATTTAGGTGACAATAGGAATCAGATGCAGGAGACATTATCGATGTCAAGAATGCTCGGAAGCAACCTCGCAAAACAGCTTTCTAGCCATGCTGCAAGTTCAGGGAACCATTCTTGAGTTCTGCCAAATTCAGATTTCCATCAGCTGGTCAGTACCCATTATAACTTCATTGATGTGTTTAGCTGTAAGACAGAAAGAAAAATATCTGTTGTACTGGGAATGGATGGGGAAGAGTTTAAACTTTATGATCTGTGCAATCAGACCTAGAAGAGAAAATAACAAAGCAACAGGTTGAAGTTAAAAACAGTATGTTTGTTCCAGTCTGAGACAGACAAGTGACCAAACTGCACAAGGTGACTTTAATGAGGAGTATGTACCATAGTCACTAAGCAACAAAAGCCAAAGGGAGCCAGCAGCTGTGGCTGACAGGTGTGTAAATCTGGGCAACAGCATGAAATCACACAGGCCGAAAGGACGGGAGTGCTTCCCCCCCCAAGGCAAACCTCCCACTGGCAAGGAGCTGGCCCTTCTTCTGCCAGCCCTATATGGAAGTGGGTTCAGAATGAACAGCAATGAAAGGGCTATATAGGAGTTTTCAGTCCCAATTCGAGAGTCTTTTCAGCTGGCTTTTCCCTGTTCTCAAACCCAGATAGGCATTTACAAATTCTCCACCTCCTCAGAAATTTCTTACCAGGCTGTCTTTTATTTGCCATTGGCAGGGTTTCAGATGCATTCAAGCCACAAAGAAAAGACGGGGATTAGAGAAGGGATTTTCAAAAGGTCCCAGAATTTGGTCTCTGCTTGGCATGATTGTTTCAGACTTAGAGCATCTGTGCCAAGGAGATCCAGAGCCCTATCGAAATGTCTGATTAGTGCTCCGTGAGAGAGCACTGCCTGGCCCATTTGTTCTGGGTGCTCCAACATCAATAGCCTGGAGAATGTGTCATTTGCTACAGAGAAATATCTGATGGGAACATAAGGGTGATGCAGTAAACAAACTCCTTAGAAAAGCAGGTAGCACCTTGCAGAAACCTTAGGGCCTAGAATGTTGCTTAGTTTCTATGACAAATAAAGTACAACTTGAATAACTATGGATAAAGAGATTACTCTGCTGGATATTTGCTGGCAGCATGACTCCTAGAAAGCCCTGCATTTAGGGGGCACATAAAAGCATCTCCTTGCTGTTTGCTCAGTTATCCCAGACAGATTGCTGCTGATAGTGGCAAAACTATGCTGTAAAGGAGGATGGGGAGCAGCAGTAGCAACAGCAGCCAAAGGGGTGTGTGGGAAGTGAAGAGGGATGGCGTTAAGGCCAAAACCAAGGACCACCACGAAGTTCCAGCCCTCAAGGGCTTCAAAAAATGTTCCATTTACTCACTCAATTATATACACTGTTTTATAAATCCTTTAAAATAAAATAGAAAACAGTTCCTGGCACAGAAGCATTGTTCTATTATACACCAGTGCTGAAGGACCGGCCTGAGTATGAGCACTCTTTAGAAGGAGGACACAGTTTTAAAACTAGCAATATAAATAACATTAAAAAGAGAGAGATTGAAAAATAATACAAGGGGAATGGTGGGAATGAGGTTGCAGAAGTAGACATATATTGGGTGGCTCAAGCCGGTGCACAGAACAACCTCTCCCTCTCTCTCTCTCTCTCCCCTCCTAGTCTAATGGATATTAAATGACACAGAGGGGATGTGCACCAAGGGCTCCAGGACAGAGGGAGCAGCTGCAACTAGAAGAGGTCAGGCGGCAGGGGTAGCTCTGGAAGTTCCATGCAGTGAGAGAGAAGGAAAACAGGTGGAGGGGCTGGTTTGTTTGTGTGGGCAGGGCAAATAAAGAGCTTTGGGTGAATGCTTGCTTCATTCCTTTCAGGGTTTATTTAGACAATTCAGGGATCTGAATAAACCAAAGGACCACAGAGTAATGGACATGTACAGTTGAGCCATCAACACCCATCTCTCAGGAGCAACTGCATCTCCCAGAATGCAATAATTCACTCAGATATGAGGCTTCACTAGTTGGCAGATGCAAATTACTGAGATAGGGTGGGTGATTTCTAATCTTGTCAGGTGTGATAAATACAGAAAGAGGGAATCAATAGTCCTCTTCCAATCTGCCATATTGTTACATCTATTTGTTTGCTAAATGGCCAAGCTTTTCTCTATAAAAACATCTTCATTAAAAACAAACACCTCAGACTCCTGTTTGGACAAAACCATTTTTATTGTGGATTAGTACCAGAAGGACATTCTTCCTTAGAAGAGGGGTTTGCTGAACCAAGATGAAATAGTATCTGGTGATCAATATTTTACTATACTAGCATTCTCTTGCACAAGCACTGGAAGCCTAGTGAGAAGAGCAGATATCTTACAGAGGAGTAAGGACGTGGTAGAGAGGGCCAGAAGAGGAATGAGATGTCATGGATATCCTTAGAAACAAAATGTCCATAGATCCAGCTGTGGCAGGAAAACACCAGCTCTGCCTCAAAACGTGAACACAACATCCTTCCATGCCAAAACAGCCATATGTTAAGAGGATCACGGAAGAAAGGAACAACTGCAGCGACCATGCCAGTGATCCCTGATGCTTTCTTGGCCCAGAAATCAGCTCAGAGGCAGGGAGATTGAGGGGGATGGATGAAGAGAGCAGAAAATACGTACAGTATTGTGAAAAATCTGTATTAAGATTTTAGGAAAAAAGAGCACACATTTTGTGAAAAAGATCATGTGATTATATCAAGTCTTACTGAGATGAGCAGTGATTTCAATTATGATTTTGAACAATTTAATTTAAATAAAAGATCTCCTGCCCTTCTATTAGGAAGGGAGAATAGCCAGTAGATGCCACAACAAAGCAAATGCTTAATTCTCTCTACTTATTGCAAGCTAGGACAGGCTGGAGAGAGGAAGTGAGGAACAGGGAATTAGTAATTAAACAAGAAAGCTTCCATTAAAACCAGTCAGTTACTCCTTGCAAGCAAGTCTACTAAATCAAGTCATGGCAGAATAAAAAAAAACCAATGTGCTAGTGAGACAGATATATGAAGACCTAGTAAAAATTGCATAATAGCTGATGTTTCTGGAAAACAGAAATCTAGTTAGCATTTGCAGATATACAGGTTTCTCCTGCCTACTTCTGAGAAGAAGGAGGGAGGAAGAAAAAGAGATGAACAGATTGTACACTATTAGAAGATGGGGAGGCTTTTTTTGTATTATTGCAGAGCCATCCACATATAGATAGGGACGTGGTGGCGCTGCGGGTTAAACTGCAGAAGCCTCTGTGCTGCAAGGTCAGAAGATCTACAGTCGTAAGATCGAATCCACGTGACGGAGTGAGCCCCCGTCGCTTGTCCCAGCTCCCGCCAACCTAGCGGTTCGAAAGCATGCAAAATGCAAAATGTGAGGAGATAAATAGGTACCACCACGTTGGGAAGGTAATGGCATTCCTTGTCTAGTCATGCTGGCCACATGACCACGGAAGATTGCCTTCGGACAAACTCTAGCTCTATGGGTTGGAAACAGAGATGAGCACCGCCCTCTAGAGTCGGACACAACTGGACAAAATGTCAAGGGGAACCTTTACTTTTACCTTACCACTGCACCATATCCTCTTCTCTACAATTCCAAGGCTTCAAGACACACTGTTGCTATGATACAAATGTTTTGTAGTTAACAAGACAGGTAGCAACAAAATATCTGACTCATATAGGTTGTTTACTGAGAGAACCTCAGGCCACATTGAGCAGTCTTCTCCTATGGTAGATTCTAGTTGAGGAAATACTGTTTTCAACACACCGCTTCTGACATTTTCATAAAAGCACTGATTGATAAATTGATTCTTAACCTGGGCATGGTTTCTGATGAAGTTTTTTAAAAGAATTTTTTAAAGAAAAAAAACTGGATTATGATGCCATAGGTAGGAGCAAATTTAAAGCTCACCATATACTTTCTATCATAGTACAAAAGAACTTTATTAGCTCTTGATACCATTCAGCCAGACTTGACTATTACAGAACGTTTAAGACTTGCAAGACAATAGCAAACATCATGTCAAAACAGGGACTAGGAAACAATGCAGTTGGCTGTTCTTCTTGAAAGACCCTAAACTTCAATTTCTAATCCTTTAGAAATTAAAGACATGTTCAATTTCCTAATTCCAGAGCTCACATGGTTTTCTCAAGATGCATGCGCTTCTTAGAGAAGAAAGCAATACAGATCTGAATGTTGTAGTGTGAAAAAAGGCAAAATGCTAGCTTGAACGGAATTTAATGAAGTATGTGAGACATAGGAGCCAACACTACACTGCTACCAGGAATCAGCTAGGTTTAAGGAGGTGTGTTCTGTCTAGGTTTTTGTCATCCATTAGAATGAAAACAAACAGAAATAAAAACAACACTGCACTCAAAATGTATGACTCACAAAGAATGGCTACAGAACTTCAGACTTACGGTAGAGCAGATGTTTTCAAGTTATTACCATGGTTTTCACCAAATCAACATGATAGTCACTTAGTACTGTATGTCCCAGAGTAAAATAAACTGAAAGAAGGGCTCACAATTTGTAGCATTCATTCCTTCCCCTTGGTTTAGGGGCAAGACAATAAACAACTAGATGCACAGTATGCTCTAAGGCAGATGTCAGAGAAAAAATGTGCATGAGTGACCAAATCCTCATTTTAAAGTACTTTGTTGAGAGCAGTTTAGACAACCTATCCTTCATCAAGCTTGGCCAGACCAACCCACACAAAGCAACTTCCAAGGCTGTGGTACCAATCTCTTGAGCCTTTCTAGACAGCACCTCATATTTAAAGTGAGGAGGATTACATTTTTAAATTTTATTTATTTATTATTATTTTTGCATGTCTGTGCTCCATTTTCATTCTATTCAGTACCCTTTGGTTCCAGACACTAGGTAACAGGTTGGCCCCTGCAGCTTATACTGGTAGTTAGTACCTACAAAGGTTACAGGCCACAATGTACGCATCAGTTCCAGGTGGCATATCCTCTGAACATAAACTTCTTTTAAAGCTACAGATGCAGCCAGATGTTAAGTTGGTGCCATGATTATTCAGGAGACAAACAGAGATGAGGTGGCAGATAGGCAGATGATCACTCTCTAAAAATCTTCCCCAATCCACTCTTCCCAACTTTGCTGCATGTTTCTCAATACAGGTACAGTATTCATGTCACAAAATCACACCTCCTTTAGCTCATGCAGTCAGCTGGCAACTCTTAGTGCTTCTCGGTACTACATACATGATCTAAATGTTGCCATGTTTTAAAGGACTATTTTTATCTACAACATGCCAATGTAAATGTCGCTACTTTCTTCATTTGGCTCCTGAACAACCTCTATTTCATGAAGGGTTTCTATTCCTTTCAAATGACAGACACTACTTTTCCAATATTAGTTAAAAAGGAATGAAAGCATTAAGTTAAAGGGCATTTTTTGGCTTACATTTGGATTCTAGATGCTGGCTGTTTCCGATCAAACAGTCCTTGAGATCAGCTCCTTTCTCTATCACTACATGATGGCATATAACACAGTTCTGCAGACTGCACCTGTAAGATAAAAATAAAAGTTTAAAATTTAGGGTGTAATTGGAAATTAGATTAGAAGAATAGTGATAACCTGCCCCAACCATCTTCGCTACAGCCAAGAACATCTGGAAAAAATGAGGCAGGACATGGCTCTTTGTATGCAGAAGGTCTGATCACCATTTGGGAAAAGGACTTGATAGTAGATGTTGTAGCAAACATTTTTCCGGAAACTCTAGAGAGACGCTGCCAGTCACAGTTGATAAAGCTGGGCGAGATGGACAAACAACCTGAGCAGGTATATGGTGGTTTCCTCTGGGAAATTCAGAACATCAAACCTGCCTTTCCGTCAAATTCCAGCTCTCTCTTTTTGCAGCCTAGATGCTTAGTTGCTATGACACAGCTCTACTGCCAGATGTCACAAAGAAAGCACACAAAAGGACAAAGACAAGACAGTTGCCACCTTTCACATCCAGGATGCTTTTCTATTTGCAGCTTCTGCAGCCTTACAGAGCTCTCCCCAATCTTTTGTATTAGGGTAAATATTGCCTCTGACTTTGTATTCATGCACACACAAATACCCTGCTATGTTAAACCAACAAAAGCCAAGAAAATAAAGCCAGGAATGCTCTCTGGTTCAGGGATTCCGAATTGGTGCAACCTTGCACACTGTTTGCTAGAATAACAAGGACACAGCCGAAATGATGAAAGGTAGATTCTTCTACCTTCGTTTCTGCAAATTTATTATTTTTTTAAAGTCACAGTTTACAGAGCAGTAGAAGGCAAAGACATACGCCCAGATTCCTAATGCAGCCCTTTGCCATTGTCTGCCTCAGAAAGATCCACCATTAAACAGAACAAAGGTTATGAGAAGCAATATAGTGATCATTACAAATATTTTAAATATTAATATTCCCCCTCTCTCATAAGAACTGATGCAGAAACAGAAAAATTAAATCTTGGCCACTCAGCTACTTCCGCAGATATCTTTTTATCATGCAGCATTATATCTAGGATATAACTTTGGACTTCCAGTGTTTACAGAAATGCAGAGCGTGTACTGTAATTCAGGAACAGGAAACAAAAATCTGTGCAGAGGAATTCAGAACTCATAAGGTGTTTGTGGCTGTCCTCCAATTTCTAAAGAATTTATCAGCACTTTTAATAGGCCCTTTCACAGTGACACATAATGTTGTATTTATTGTCAGCTGAAGATTCCGCAACTGAAATGAATTAATGGCCAATATTCCTGCTGAGCAGTTTCTCCTGTGCAATGGGGATGAGATCACTAGTAGTGTCTGGTTGCCACTAATTACAGTAAAGAGTTCCTTTTTTAAATTCAGGGTGTGCGTAACTTGGGCACAATTATGTGAAGTCACATTCACCCCCAAACTGAAATAGGAACCCTTTAATTAATGGAAATCTGTGTTGCCAGTGACATCACTCTTGTTTCATAGGGAGATCTACACAACAGGATACAAGGCAGCTTATTTGTTTGTTCTTCTCTTTTTGTTACACATTCTGGATAACTTGTGCTTTCTGACTGCAGAAACTGCTAACATCATTTGAAATGTGAATGTGACATTTTAAAGTTTTATTCTTCCAAATTCCAGCATGAGAAATACCTCACCCATTCTAAACACATATACAGAGCAGATTTAGACCATGGGGAAGCCCCCCTCCCCTATTGGTTGCCACTATCCCATGAAGCAACTGCTGCCAAGGCAGGCAAGTCCTCCTCTGTAAACCTAAGGGCAAATAGAAGGCTTCAAATATAAAGATAGAGACCTTGCCTGGACTTAATGAAAATTCACACGGATACAATCATAATGCCTTGGGTTGCTAAGGAGACCGACTCCCATCTCAGTCACACAATCAGAAACTGAGCTTCTGCAGTCAAAGCTAAGTTGACAATCTTCTTGCTGAAAAGAATTTAACTCCTTCTTCTAAGAGACATCATAGGGTTCAGAGAGAAGCAGACCAATGATATGAAAAGGGGGACATTTTGAGCAGGCAAGATTTGCCTTGCTCTAAGACCATGTGCCTCCGTTTTTGCACAGGAAGGCTGCAGACTTACGCATGATGGAGTCATCTAGTTAAGGTTGCCTTGGCAAGGCCTCTTATTGAGATGTTAATAGGGGGGAAAGGCTGTATAGACAGCTCTCTCCCTTTGCTCCCTGTTCCTGAGGCATTGACACAGCTGCTTCCTTTCCAATGCCTCCATTTAATGCATAGCAATGATAGGATAAAAACTGACCACCCTCCCACACAGGCAGGGGGATTTTAAAAAGTGCCTGGAATCCATGGGTTTGCACACTGTAAATCCCAAGTGTTGCTGGACTTTTCTTCCAGTAACTCACAAGGAAACTCCATAAATGTACACATAAATCACTTCTTTTGGGGTCACTGTATTTTAGGAGATCCCTGCTTTGGTCCCATAGAGGACTGCAAACTATAACTTTATAACCTTTACAATGGAGTTCTCCTGAAAGATTTCCAGTTTCTTTCCTCTAAATGTCTCTAATAAAAATGTAATACGTAGAAGTAAACAGAGTACCGTTCTTTGTCTTTCTCACTGATGTTTTGCCGTGAATTTCTGTGCTTATTTTCATCTATGACATTAAGTGTTCAGAAGCTCTGATTTTAACAAACCACTAAAAGTAATGGCTGCTTTTATATATTCAAAAGATGAATATTTTATCTCAGCACACTTTGGTACAATGGTTTTCTTTTTTAAAAAACTGGGCAACAACTGATCTAATTGGTCTTATTGTCCTAATCATTCCAGGCTAATGTACTGTGTTATTACATTAAAGCTGATAATTTTAGGATTATCAGCTTTAATGTAATAACACATAATAGACAGCATTTGTAACACTATCGTCTTTCCTCCTTTCTAAATATCTGAAGAGCTCTCTGAAATACAGATCAATGTTTTGTGACTTTTAATTAGCCTAATAAAGATACGCCAATATTGCCCACCTTGGGCATTCCTCAAAGATATGTTAACCATAAACCCTCTAATCATGGGCACTTATCACACCTATGCCAAAATGTTATGCCAATTAGATATTGTTGGGAGACACAAATCCTGAGTTCAGTATGACAGTTTACTGAAACCAAAGGTGTGGGTTCACAGGTAGAGCACAAAATCACCAACCTTGTCAACCTCTTGCAAAACTTTGAGGTGGATCTCTGTGAGCTATGTGCCATACCATGTCACATCTTATGTTGAAGCTCTCAGCCTAAGTGAAATATCTACCAATGATGGTGGTGTATCCAAACGACACAACATTTTGACACAGATTTGGAGGTAGTAAGAGACTGGTCGCTTTGTATTTAACAAAGCCATTGCTAGACACTTTTAAGATTAGAAACTCAAGCCTACAAGGCAAGAATCTGGATAAAATGTGCACACTTCTACATCTACGTCTGCTATGGTGTGTGGGTGTGAGTGTGCACTTGCTTGCTTTTGTGGACATGTGAGTGTTCAAATGTAGGAATAACTACAGTTAATTTAAAATTCAAAGAGGGACTTGCCACGCTTCATGTAATTAAGCTTAAAGCGGAGGGGGGGGGCAGTCACTGCCTACCAAGGGAAGGATTTCCTCCTTTAAACGTAATGGCTGCTGCTAGGAAAGGAAATGCAGGAGGGACGTTGACACTCCACTCCCCAATGATGATATTTCTGAGACAGCTCCCCTCCTTGAAGGCAATTAATGCTGAAAGGAAACCTTCCCACAAACCTCATCCCCTCATAAAACCTAAATGTCATGTGGGGGAACACATTGGAAGGTGCAGAATATTAGGAGGCACAGGGTAACCTTTCCTTTCCCCACCCCAACTCCCATTGAAAATTATTCCCTACACCTAAATTTAGAGAAAGAGCCACTCATCTGCCAGCACCAATCTCGACAGTCAAGTCTCTGGGAAACAGATCTGGGGCCAGTGATCCATGAACCATACTTTGCTGCTGCCTGGAATGATTAGGGCAAGAAATGCCATTCAACACAACATATGTTGAGCTGAAATAATGAATGAAAGAATAGAAATCTTATTTTGGATGCTACATGCCAGCAAAACTAGGGTAACATATTCTCTGGCTCCACGATGAAAAAAAAAAATCCCAGGGTTGGAAACATTTTAGAATGTAATCAATATATGCAGGATTTCAAGCACACATTGATAATTCCCCACTTCCACTATGGCCCTGCCACACAATAGAGCAGTTTGGCCAGCTTTTACCACAGGAGTGGAAAACAAATTGAAGAAGTAAAACACATCTTGTGGGTGTTCCTTCCACGCACTGACAGATGTAATACAGCCATTTGGAAATTACTTGCAAATGCTTTTTGGTGTGCATTTTAAAAATCAGACCATAAAGGCTGCCAGCAGAAGAATTTTGTGTTTATTTAATTTCAGCCTACTTTCTGTCCCTTCCCCCAACCCAGTGTAAAGAGCAAGAAATAATCTTATTTTCTTTTACAGTAAGCATCTCATTTCATTGCAACCTAATTTCCAGTTTTAAGCACTGCATCCCTATAGAATTATAAATATGGAATTCTAGAAGCCCTTACAATAGCTTTTATTAAATCCTTGAAGTCTTTACAATAGTTTTAATACCATTTACACTTACCTACGCAAACATATATACAGAGAATAGAGAGTTTTATTGGAATACAGATTGTTATTCAGAAAACCACTTTCAGCACAGTGAAAGTAGATGTCTTCTCAGCATCTGAAATACAGTACTCTATTTATTAAATAGCTGTAGAGATGGCAAGCATGAACACAAGATTGGCCTCAATGGCAGCCTTCTCCAACCTTGCATCCTTGAAACTGGTGGCACTACAACTCTGATCATCCACAACGGTGGTTCCCAACCTTGGGTCCCCAGTGTTCTTGGACTATAACTCCCCCAATCTTGGCTAGCACAACTAGTGGGGAAAGCTTCTGAGAGTTTTAGTCCAAGAATATCTGGGGACCCAAAGATGGCAACTATCGGCCTACAACAATCATGACTG